ACATGTGGTAAGTAGAGTCATACAATGTAACAATGAAAAAAAAATTATAATTTTATACACAACGTGTTTGATTAATCAACATATTTTATACAACACATGGACCTATTACCTAGCTGATGTTGGGTACACTAATGGAGAGGGATTTTTAGCACCATTCAGGGGTCAAAGATACCATATACAAGAGTTTGGGGCGGGTGCGACAACTCCCTGTAATCCCGAAGAATTGTTTAACCTCTGACATTCAACTGCAAGGACATACATTGAGAGATGTTTTGCCTTGTTGAAAAATAGATGGGCGACACTTAGGGCATCGTGCTACTATCCGATTTGCACACATAATCAAATTATTATTAAGTGTTGTTTGTTGCATAATTTGATTAGAAATGAAATGAGTGTAAACCCAATAGAGAAAGAGTTGCCCAAGGTCATTCACGTTGAGGGTGATGCTGACAATGATGTCATAGGCACTGAGAAGACATCTGTTGAATGGTTATTGTTTCGAAATCAGTTAGTGTTTGAAATTCACGAGCAGAGGATGTCTCAAGGACAACCTACTATTTAAGTGTGTATGATTTTGTGATTCTGCATGTACTGTGAGATATTGGTTTGATTCTAGAATACAAGTTTTCCTTGATTTCAACTTAGATTATTGTTCATATCTTAATAGTTTATACGATGATAGTAGTGTAAGATATCTCATATTAGAAAATTGAAAGGGAGTGTAAGAGTTTAAAAAAAGAAACATACCAAATTTTATAAGTTTAGATGGTGGAAAGATTTGGAGGGAAGCTCCAAATATTTTAAATCAATGTGCCTAGATTAGATTTTAAATAAAATAATATTTAAAGTCAAAAGATGTGCACTTGGGGCATCTTGGGCTTGAAGCTTATAAACAATTAATAATTTTTATTAATAATTTTGTATTAATTAAACAGTTAATTAACTGTTACATGTCTCTTGGCCCAAGAGTTGTGTCTCTTCTTTACATCTTTAAGATATTATAAATACCTATACAAACCTTTCAATAAATATATACAAAACGTTTCTCTATTCTGATCTTAAGAAAATTTTAGAGTTTGTTATCTAAAATTTTATTTGACTTTGTTAATCTTAGAGATATTTTCCAAAAACCCAGCAGCAACATAGTGGGTGTATAATTTCCTTAAATAGAGTGAATACGCTTCTAATCTGTTGTAGTTATTTTGCTAACAAACTATCTCTGCAATACCATATCATTCTCACCCTTTATCTTAGACCAAAAAACCCATCATCATCAGTAACCACTACCATCATCATCGGAGTGCGCGCACACACACACATATATATACAGAGAGAGAGAGTGTGTGTGTAAGAGTGAGAGTCAGGGGAGGGGTTGAAGGAGGAGGAGGTGGTGATGAGTATTGAAGGAGTGAACCAATTTTCAGTTGGTGGTTGATGAAGATGATGGTGGATTTTCTGTCCAGATTACCTTTGAGTGATAATGGTGGGGAGGTAGTTCGGAGATTTCGGAGAGAGAGAGAGAGAGAGGGCATATTGTTTTTTTAATGGAAAGTTGACTTTGAACAAAAAAATTTGTACCCCAACATTCTATTTTGGCGCGTGAATTACAATTTTTGTAAATTTAGACTGAATTTGTGATGGTATTATTTTAGTTCAAAAGGATAAGGGGGTGAAGTGGATATAAGACTAAATAATAATCTTATTAATGTCATTTTATGAATAATATTACATTGACTTAAAAATTAGATTTAAAAATTAAAATTGATAATAACAACTATTGAATAGGTAGTGAGTTCTAATAAATACTGAGACTCTCAATGGAATCAATAGTTATAATTATCAAGTCTAATTTTTAAATTCTTGTTGTATTATTCTTATTTTATAGATTAGACGAAAACTAATTATCTAATCTCATCTTTTATTTATAGCTTACTCAAACACGTTCTAAAAGTATAATATAATAATTTTTTTTATTTGACAGTATAAAGTGTAAAAGTAAAGATGTTTTAATTTTTGAAGATGGAAAGTGAAATTCGCCCAACAAAGTTTTCCAATCCTTTGAAGAGATTTTGCAAGGATAAGACTGCCTCATCATTCATTCATTCATTCATTCGTTCTAAATAAGTTATATATATATTTTTTTTGTTAAAAAGTGAGTTGATGAAAATTACGAATGAGAGACATAATAATTTCAATTCATTATGAATTCCAATCAACTTTTAAATGAATAACACACGCGTGGTGCTTTTTTTTTTTTTAATTCTGCTTTTCCTTTCTTTCTATATATAAAATGGCATCCCCTTCAAATTTCTCTCCATAAGCCTGTAGAATTTCTTTACTCTCTCTCTCTCTCACACACACACACGCACAAGAAAGCAAAGGATGCTTAGCATATGTTGTAAGTTGTAACCAACAATGACTTCAATTAGAAATTAATGATTCAATTCGTGTCGTATTATTTAGAGATTTCATTCTTGTATTTTTGTCAACTACGAACAAATCTTAGTTTTTTCTACTTTGATGAATTCCTTGTATTGGTCGTCCTAGTCCTAATACTAACTCGATAATTCACGAACTAGAAGCATAGAGACTAAGACTGGGTTTTTATCTCAACTCAAACCCTTCACCGATGGACTCATAAATCCCAGGAGATTTTTTATGATAGTAAAATCACATAAAAAATTCTCGAATTCTCATTTTATGGTTTTTGAAAACTAATGAACTCTAACTTGTTAATTTTATATTGGATTCGTATGATCTTACCGTATTATTTGAAAACTCTCACCCCAAGTGTAACGTAATTAGGTCTATCAATCGTGTTGGGTGAGGTGAGTTTATATCGAGTCTTACCGAGTTTATGTCAAAAAACGTTCTACTCATATTCGATTCATTTATTAATTCGTGTTTAATGAATCGTGTTATATCGAATTCATGTCGTATATAAACTGCGAATAATTGATATATAAATGAATCGTATTGCGTAGTTTTTTGATTGACTTCACTCATACCCGGTTTATTTATTAATCATGTCGTATCAGGTCTACTCATTTACTAAATAGATAGCTTAATAAAGATCTAAATCATCTAATTTTATGTCGTGTTAACGAATTGTGTCATATTTTGACCCTTCTAAATGCAACTAATCATTTTTTACTTCCCAAAAACAAAAAGTATAATTTTATAAACTGTCAATGAAAAAGTTAAAGAGCACTTGAGCCATTCTGTATCACCCGTTTCACCTCACTAATGAGTGGTAAAGCAAAAGCAAAAGAAAACAAGTCTTAGTGGGAGGGAGGCAGAGTATGATTGTACCTGTTTCTGCCTCCTCCCATCTTTTCCCAACCTAAGAAACCCACCATAAACCCCACCTCTCGGCCAAATTTCTAGCACTCAATCTTATATGCTAAGCAAACTACAATCATTTGGGACAATCCTCAAACTGATTAGCTCTGTGTCTTTACTATTTCACCAGTTTGACCTCTTAGGCAAGGACGAAACAAACGTCAACGCGGCTCGGGTAACCCGGATCATTAGTCGACTCTAGGTGGATAGCGGTGGAGTCACTAGCCTGTCAAGAACAGGAAGAGACAAATCTCCATCGTCGTTGCGAGAGTACGTCTGAGGAAGAGTGTACCATCATGCCATAGTCGTAAGTAAATTTATAGGTGTGACTGTTGTCCTGGCCAACAAGGTTTAAACTTTCAAGGGAAAAACTTCAAATTGGGAGGGGTTACTGACCGTACCCCAAACCAACATAGATGGACAAGTAGAGTACTAAGGCTCTTGAGAGTAGGCAAAATGTCATGCCAGTCTAATATCTGCATAGTCCATGATCTGGGCATGGTATGAATACAGAGGCGAGAGAGAGAGAGAGAGAGAGAAAGAGAGAGTTGTACAAGCTTGTAGTTTGCACTCCTGGCGGCGTCGGCGCATAACAGGTGCACCTCTTTAGTCTGCTCTTGCTATGTAGCATCAAGGAATTCTGATAGCAAAAGTGAAGAAAGCAGCAAAAGTAGCAACAGCAACAAGAGGAGGTCACTTGCAACAAACAAAGATGGGGTCATGGAAGAAGTTTGTAATAATGAATTATTACATGGTCGAGGAGGTAAGAGCAATGGGTGTAATGGGCCTCACATTGAACCCACCCCTCTCAAGAGTAATCTCAAGAAAGCCACAGCAGTGGAGACAAATCAACAGAGGACAGAAACAAGGAAAGTCAGTTGGCCTGATGCTCATGGCAAAGATATTGCTCATGTTCAAGTGTTTGAGACAAGGTAAAGTTATTGCCCACCTCAACTTGTCCTGCATTATGTGTTTTCACTGTTGCACAAATTAGGCCTCTATACTGTTGAATTTGATCAAAAAACAAAGTACAAGCATAGCCCTTTTCAGGTATCCCAATCCCCACTCTTGTACACTCTCAATTTTTCTCAATCGCATATCACCCACTGCAAGTAGGTAGAGAACACAATTATATATAGTGAATCCCACTCAAATTCATAGCGGGTGATCTACTGCTGAGAAAAATTATACTCGACGAGAGGATCTAAATTTCTATTTCAAGACGTTCAATGAAATAGGTCGAGAGGAACAATGAACTTGTCACGAGTCTCATGACTAAAGAAGATTTGTTGGCACGAAATTGAAGGGGAGTTATCTTATATCAGTGGTTTCTTGAGAAGTTGAAAAGCAATGTGTAGCTTTATTTTTCACATTTACTTGGCAGTTGTTTTGATGCCATTGCCGCAGAATGTTTAAAATGCAACATGCTCTACAGCCTTTCATTAACCTATGTAATTTTAGATTTGCAGAACCACTTTCTAACTTTTTTTTCATTGATTTTATAGTGTGTCAGAGGATGGGGAGCTGCAAGGTGTAAGGAACTCCTGCGNGATATTGCTCATGTTCAAGTGTTTGAGACAAGGTACAGTTATTGCCCACCTCAACTTGTCCTGCATTATGTGTTTTCACTGTTGCACAAATTAGGCCTCTATACTGTTGAATTTGATCAAAAAACAAAGTACAAGCATAGCCCTTTTCAGGTATCCCAATCCCCACTCTTGTACACTCTCAATTTTTCTCAATCGCATATCACCCACTGCAAGTAGGTAGAGAACACAATTATATATAGTGAATCCCACTCAAATTCATAGCGGGTGATCTACTGCTGAGAAAAATTATACTCGACGAGAGGATCTAAATTTCTATTTCAAGACGTTCAATGAAATAGGTCGAGAGGAACAATGAACTTGTCATGCGTCTCATGACTAAAGAAGATTTGTTGGCACGAAATTGAAGGGGAGTTATCTTATATCAGTGGTTTCTTGAGAAGTTGAAAAGCAATGTGTAGCTTTATTTTTCACATTTACTTGGCAGTTGTTTTGATGCCATTGCCGCAGAATGTTTAAAATGCAACATGCTCTACAGCCTATCATTAACCTATGTAATTTTAGATTTGCAGAACCACTTTCTAATTTTTTTTCATTGATTTTATAGTGTGTCAGAGGATGGGGAGCTGCAAGGTGTAAGGAACTCCTGTGTTTGTGTAATTCAATGAATGAAATTACAATTCTGTCCTGCTTCTCAATGGATGAAATGCCAATTCTCATTGCTGCTTGTTCATTTTATGGAAGGTTCTTAACTGAGCTTTAAGAGATTGATATGAAGTTGTTGCAAAGTGGAACCATATAGTACTAGACACGAGACAGATCTTTCAAAGAACAAGGAAAGGCTCTAACTACATATGCATCTCTCTCTCTCTCTCTCTCTCTCTAACTAGATGTGTAATCCCTCCCAACTATTCACTGGAAAATAAGTCTATATGTTAGATGTCACCTCCATAAGAAATGTTAATAAATAAGAAATGGCGGGACAATACGCTGGAAATTATTAACAAGTAATGTAAATGGCGGAAGCATCCACTAGAAGTGAAACAATTGCACCATTTTTGTTTACAAACATTTGCAAGAATCACAACTATGATATTTTATACCCCCACAATGATATAACATATTTTCACCCCTAAAAAAGATCATCACTTTTATATGAATCAGCATGACGCTGAATTTTTTGTTCTTTTGAGTATCGTAGATTAGTAGATCAATAAAACAATCAACTCACTTGGTACATGTCAAGCCCCTTTAGCAAGGTAAATCCTCTTCGTAGACATGGATCCTAGTCTCATCTCAGGTCACTGGACACGACTTTTTCCTTTCTTTGATTTGCTCTTCTCCTGCATTTTCTTTTTCTTTGCCTCGGCTGTAATCCACGTGTAATCTGGAGGAATTCCAAATGGGTCTTGAATATTTTCTATCCTACTGCTTGAACTACCTGCAGAAGTGTCTGGGCGGTTGTAGGGAGTTTTTATCCACTGAAACCAAGATGAACTTGAGGCCTGCATCAGTGCTGGGCTTTCTCTGCCTGTAGCAGTAGGACTTGAAGGAGGCGTTGAGAACTCATCCAACGGCTCTAGTTCTTCGAACTTTGTAAACGTGACCAAAACTCTGATAGTGGGAACCACTGGAATAGCAACCTGAAATCATACAGAAATTAGGAAAGGATAAAAAGGTACGACAAAACTGCATCAAACATATGAGTGCACAAATGATGCTGCTTCCTATCACAAATGAACCTGCTTGAGGAGGAAGAAGGAATGGACGCGTGAGCAACAGACTTGGAAACTTGGCTATGAGAATTTTTATCTCATGGCATTAGCATGCAACAAGATAGGTCTTATTCTGCAGAACAGAGCAGATTCTAGGTTTATTTTATCAGTTTGACACTGGAAATACTGTTCCGTTAACGTGTATGTAAGGCTACTAGAAAAAAAAAGAATGCTTCGACCATTTGACTTAACACCCAACAGAACAAAGAACGTGGAAGGGATGGAATTTTAACAACTAAAACCAACAATTCCATTAATTAAAAAATAACCAAAAAAATGAGCATCAACAAAAAACCGTACTTCAAGGATACTGATGAATCTTCAGGATGGCAAACAATGGTATAACTATATTTAAAATCAACACATATAAACTAGAGGTATTCATTGCTTGGACTTGTTAAGTTACCAATTGCCTTTGCTATCATTGTTCCCTTCAGTTTGTCATGAAGAAGCTCTCGGCTTGATTACCAATGAAGCATTCCGGATTCAATTTGAACTTTTCATGTGGAGCTATATACAAATACAAAGTCGACATACATGTTTAACACAAGGTAACCTAAATGGATGTGCCACTCACCCTTTGGTTTTTTACTTGGAAGCATAGTACTTTACATTCAACCCACTACTTTTATCACCCTAAAAAAACTAAAACCGTCACGGAAGCCACCACTTGATCTGCCTGAGACTTTTCTATCTAAAGAATTTATTTAGAATGAAGCTACTCTTACTGCTTGAGCATCCTTTCTGTGTTATCTTGCCATCCCCAACATCTCCTCAACTCTTAAACACATTAAGAAGCACATGTTGCAAGCATGTGTATGGCAATAGAGGAGATCTATTCCATCCTTCTGCTTGAAAAGCATTATTTTCCCATAATGGATCGCATCTCACAATCACAAAGATTCACATATTGGGGGCATTTACCATAAATCCAACTAAAGTCTCCTCCAAGTAATAGTAACCAAATCTAGTTCAGGCGTGGAAGATCTAGAAGTAGACCAAGTCAAATTAGGAGTCAGCACATCATTTCGGTGTACAAGGTAAAACTTTCTGTCGAAGAGAATTGAAAACAACAAAAATATGCACCTTCTACAGTAAAAATCCGTGGCTGTTAATGGCTTTTTATAGGGCATTTACACGCCGCCAACACATTTTTATGGCACTACAATGGTCTTTCCAATTGTGAAATTATTTCGGACAGTTGAAACAGTCAAAAACTAGATTGCGCCCGTAGCGAGTCCATTACGTAGTAATGGCGTATTTTTAAAAGCATGCTACAATGTCTCACCTGTCTCGGCAAATGCCACCACGAATAATGCCTGTATGCCATAAATATGAACATGCCATTCATCCACTTGATCCTACAGTGCCCTCAAATTGACTAAAAATGGTAATGATAAAATTTCTGTCGTCAAAGCTAATTACAAGGGAATTTAAGTCTCTAACACTTATCCACTGAATCTGACAATGCACTCACTTTAATATAACATAACCACTGTACATCAAACAATTTAACATATTCACTGCTGAATAGCATGGAAACAACACGTAGGGCACATTCAGGATTTCATGATGCTGTCGGTCTTCACCACTGAAATTTTTGTTTAATTTATTCATGTCAATTTAGGTCAAAAAGTTGTTTGAATAATTTTATTCATGTTCAAATTATCTCTGAGTCTGCATNATGTCAATTTAGGTCAAAAAGTTGTTTGAATAATTTTATTCATGTTCAAATTATCTGAGTCTGCGTATTCAGGTCATTTCAATAATTCTTGAAAACTGGTTGTAATTGCAGCATGTCTTATTTGGATCAAGTTTTGTATTTGGGTTATTCTAAAAAGGGGTAGCCCATGATGCTCCACAACCCGAGACCTTGACACCCGGGTGCTAAAAAAGCTGTCATACTACTTATATATAAAATTAAATTAAATACATATAGATTATAGAATATTAAATGTCGCAAACTAGCTGTCCAGAATAAAAACATCTAGAAAACATTGATTGTGTATTTATATGGTCATATACCTTTGCATGAAAATCATCTAACTATCACACATGGAAAATTTTTCATGCAACTCCAACACACTATGCTTAAAATTTTGAAAGACATATCATTGAGATGTTAATAAAAATAGCAGATGTAGGCAGAAAAGAAACCAAAAACAAAGGAAGAGGCAAAGAAGAGAAGAAAGAAGGAAAAAATAGAACAAAGAAACATAAGAGAGAAAAAGAAAGGGAATTGAAGGGGAGGAGAAAGGGACAAGCAGAGAGAGAGAAAGAGAGAAAGTTGGAGAACACTATCACAACAATATCTGTAAATACCAAAACCTATATCATTCATCACAGCGAAGCATACCTATGGGCAGTTCCAAAAGGACCCAAAGTTAACATTTTACATCAAAGAGCATAATCAATAAGTCTTAATATTAACGAACAAAAATTAACCCAAACAGTGGCCTAAAAGTATAGTCCTCAATCCGTGGTCTACCCAATCCATTGGTGATCCCCAGCAGTAGGTTCCCATAAGCTATGGGGCCCTACTTGTTTAGACATATATTTTATTTATTCCATTCTGGTCCAACAAAAATCCTATGTTTAACTTCATAAACTTGCATTGCAACAAAAAACCAACTACAGACCAGAAAATCAGTAGTTTCCTTCTCAACTTCCAGATGCCCAGTAGAATTCAATTGATATGATTGCAAAACTCAAGATCAATCCTGAAATTCCAGAGTTATTTTTCTTTTCTAAATGTTGGGGAAAATGAAAACAAGCCAACCTATGTCTTCTTAAATTTAAGCCATCCTATTTTTACTAAACATCCATTATAGTGAAATCCTGGTGAAATTGACCTCATGGTAATCAAAGATAAGTTGACACAAAAAGTAAAATCCACCTATTTTTCTTATTCTTCTTGTATCAACAAACAGATGGATTGCAGTACAGTGGCACTTTAATTTACACTTGCTTATTCATAACAACAGCAGAAATAATGACGACAAATTAACACACCTCCAAAGTGATACCAATTGGCTAATATACACTACAAAGTCATTTTTCAAGATACTATAGTCCACATTAAAGTCTAAGTCGCTACAAAAATGGTCAGATTATGAACCAAAAATAACCGAATTGCTACAAACATAGTTGTCAAATCGCATATTTGAAGGCGTATCGTTTTTCAAAAATTGTGTATCATAAGATACACGTAATTTTAAATAATTATTAAAAAAATATATTTATACCTTTGGAAAAAAAGTCACACTCAATATAACATAACATTTCATTAATATTCCACCAACTATTTAAGTTCCAAACATAGTTCAATAATATCAAAATGCAAAGACTTCTAATTTAACCTTCTAACGTCAACTGCTTGAACAATATTAACATTAATTAGCAATTTTGATTCAATTAAACAACATTAACAACAGACTTTATTATTTTTTAAACCTTAGGCACTGAAACAAAGTTGTTTCACGGCTAGGGGTTAAAAAATAAGTCCTGGGTTAAAATGACGTCGTTTCAGGCCCAATTTTTTTTAAAAAAAAATAGAATCTTCACATATTGTATGTATTAGACGATACGGTGCAAAAACGATACAGAGANGGGTTAAAAAATAAGTCCTGGGTTAAAATGACGTCGTTTCAGGCCCAATTTTTTTTTTAAAAAAAATAGAATCTTCACATATTGTATGTATTAGACGATACGGTGCAAAAACGATACAGAAANTTAAATTTAAGCCATCCTATTTTTACTAAACATCCATTATAGTGAAATCCTGGTGAAATTGACCTCATGGTAGTCAAAGATAAGTTGACACAAAAAGTAAAATCCACCTATTTTTCTTATTCTTCTTGTATCAACAAACAGATGGATTGCAGTACAGTGGCACTTTAATTTACACTTGCTTATTCATAACAACAGCAGAAATAATGACGACAAATTAACACACCTCCAAAGTGATACCAATTGGCTAATATACACTACAAAGTCATTTTTCAAGATACTATAGTCCACATTAAAGTCTAAGTCGCTACAAAAATGGTCAGATTATGAACCAAAAATAACCGAATTGCTACAAACATAGTTGTCAAATCGCATATTTGAAGGCGTATCGTTTTTCAAAAATTGTGTATCATAAGATACACATAATTTTAAATAATTATTAAAAAAATATATTTATACCTTTGGAAAAAAAGTCACACTCAATATAACATAACATTTCATTAATATTCCACCAACTATTTAAGTTCCAAACATAGTTCAATAATATCAAAATGCAAAGACTTCTAATTTAACCTTCTAACGTCAACTGCTTGAACAATATTAACATTAATTAGCAATTTTGATTCAATTAAACAACATTAACAACAGACTTTATTATTTTTTAAACCTTAGGCACTGAAACAAAGTTGTTTCACGGCTAGGGGTTAAAAAATAAGTCCTGGGTTAAAATGACGTCGTTTCAGGCCCAATTTTTTTTAAAAAAAAATAGAATCTTCACATATTGTATGTATTAGACGATACGGTGCAAAAACGATACAGAAACACGATTCGTATCGTTTTTCAGGTGTATCGTAACGTATTATATGATACTAATAACTATGGCTGCAAATACTAAACCACAATATTAGTTGCATAGTTTTTTTTTGGTCATTAGTAGCATAGTATTCACATGCTCAAAACTCAGAGGGTGCACCCCAATTAATGTGAGAAGGAATATTGGGAAAGTAGTCATATGCAATATTGTTTGTCTCGTATGATAGACACTATGTATCATTCGATACGTTTCATTACAGTGAAAAAATCATACACACAGGACCCTTTTTTTTTATTACTTTTTGAGTATATACGGTGGAATGGCATCGTTTCACAAGACTTCTTTAACTTTGGACACTACCTATTCATATATCTGTACGTATCTGTATTTGTAAATATATTATTTAAAATAGAGGAAGATACACTATACCTTATGATCCACAATACAATTTTTATAAAAACAAAAAAGCGCTGTGATACCCGTTTTGACAACCTTGGTTCTACACGGAAGTATTACACATTGAAAAAAACAGACATAATTCCTCTTAATTATTAATTTTCTCTCCTGTCCTTTTTCATTAATGATTGGCTGCCTTTACTTTATTTCTTGACTACTTACAGGTAAAACTTATCAATAGAAAAAATAAAACAAAAAGCCAAGACTACATGTGCAGGACATAGACCAAACACCCTTATCAATCACAAAGCTTTTACTATATACATTGTAAAGGCACATACCACGATAAACTTTGACTATTCCATAATTCTAAATTCAAACATCTGTAGATTACAGAAGATCAAAATTCGAACCGTAGGAGTGTGCTCTAGTGTTAGTTTTACTTTTATTTGTGTATCATTGGTTATTACACTCATGTATATAGGTAACGAGCATTTTACCTCCTAGACTGTCGCACTTCTGCACACGATGTTCAACAAAATTAGTATGATCTTTTTAGAAGCACAAAATGAGTGAAAATTGTCAATAACAGAACTACATAAGTCAGGAATTACACATAACTCAGCTCACTCCTATATGAGTCACTGAGTGTGAATGTCCAATGTCTTGGACCTAAATCATTAACAGGGGTAAAAAAATACTTACTCATAGTTCCTCGTCTTTTGGAAATGTCTTCGGCTCTTAGCCATATGGTTTTTGTTGAATGCATCTGCAAAAAGCAGGAAATGTCTGGTCTAATATAGCAGGCTGTCATAGCAGCCCCGAAAACCCACAACTCTTACAGTTTTGAATTTGGAATAGAAGAGATCAATTAGATCCTAATGGCACTAAGCAAACCAAAGATTTTGCCTATGTTTTTCTTCATGCAAAGTACTTCTTTCTTTGATGTGGCGTGCTGCACGCATACTAGAGGAGGATTCACCTACACCTACAAGAAGCCAAATAAAGGAAACTCCCTGTTATGCCTAATTTTGGATGACAACCATGTTTTTGAGGCTATCTTGGAAACTGGCATCACATGATCATGTCTCTGCTTCCAACACTCCTCACATCCCATAGCATTTTAATTATACGGCAGAAACACCAACCCCTAAGAAGCAACCACGCCTTATAGGAGCTGGTTGATGCCAGCACATAGCACTGGCCAACCAACAAAAGTCTCCTAGTTAAGCATACACGATTCTATTTTCCAATATTTAAGTTAAATTTATCATTACCACTCCTCCAATGGGTACCACCTACACCCTACCCTTCCTACTTAATCCCTACTAATAATGATAAAATGTATAAACTAAAAGAAAAGAAAAGTAGCATCCAATCAAAGTAAGAGCAGATTGAAACTTAAACTCGCATTAGAGTTATTTTCAACTAGAATAACTATGTGCAGCATACCTTGACCGGAAAGGTACCCATTGGAAGTTTTGTCGTGAGCAGTTCTCTTAATCGTCGTATAGCCTTAACTTTGTTCGCTAGAATGTCAAGCAATGGCAGGAGCTCTTCAGTTCGTAATGGAAAATTTGGGGAAAGCCAGAGAGTAGGCCTTAAGCCTTTCTTGTATTCACTCTCACGGCTGGCATCCTTGTGGCGGTTTCCACTATCAGAGGTTGCTGATGAAGACAGTTTTGTATCTCTTCCTCTTGGATGCTCATCCCTCTTCACAGCAATCTCCATGGAATGCCTTGCTGGTTTGTTCTGACTTCTAGATGGTGAATCCCCAAGCAGATCACTTACCTTCTCGTCTACACAAAGGGAACTTCTTGGAAGGGCAACCCTATTCTGCCCATCATGTTTAGTATCTCGTTTCCTCCACCCACCAAGCCATCCTTTCTTTTCCTGCTTAGTTTCTCCATATCCATAACCATTTACATCTTCGATGGGAATCTCCCTTTGCTCGTAAGAACTATGCCGGTGTCCAACAATCTCATCACCATTCTCATTGCTCAAATTTGATGAATCCAACTTAAGTGCAGTTTCAAGTTGCCTTCTTTCTTCCTCAGTCAGAAGATCATTAAGGTCCTCACTCTCTGTTTCATTCTCATTGGAAGATGAGAAGAGCTCATCATCTGTCATAGCCCCTGGAACCCTTCTGGATTTGATGCTCACAACCACATTGTGCATATCATACACCTTAGCCTTCCATGGCCCGACCATTTCCGTTTTCTCCTGCCGTCTCCATGTCAACTGAGGCAAAAGAACTGCCTGAGTCACATCAATGCCAGGCCGGAATATACTGGTTTGAGACATGGCAGCCACTTCTTGCTGGACTTCCGCTTCAGTTGCTGGAGCACCAGCGCCATCCAATGCGTTCATCACTTCCTTATCTTTGTGGGAGATCATGCAAAGGGACCCCGCAGGGACCTTCCCGTCCTCGGAACCATCACCAAGAAAAAGAACACTCTGATCAGAACGCTGAATTCTAAAACCATCAAAACCAGCCAAAGTCATATCAGCCCTCAAATTTGCACCCCTCTTCCAGATTTTATAAGTATCAGAAGGTGCAATCCTCGAAATAAAAGGGATGACAGAGCTCTCAAAGTGAAATGTGATTTCCATGTAGAAATCCCTCATCCTTCTCATTGTCCCAATCAACCGTGGCAACCTTCTACACCATTTTGCCCACGCCAGTGGCTGGTAATGCCTAACTATGATCCTTGCAATCCCTTCCTCCCGATTACATATTGCTTCCTGAAGTGCACTCCATCCATATTCATTTTGCAAGCTCCAATCTGCACCAGCAAGCATAAGCATCTCGGTAGCAGTCTCGTCACCAAGTCTAACAGCCAAGTGGAGAGGAGTCTCACGGTTGGGGACATCGCGCCGATCAATCATGACCGAAATACTCTCAGCCTTGGATTCCTCGGCTAGTGAAACCGATTCAGTTTGAATCTCAGCAGGGTCACGAAGCCGTGGAAGGCCACCAAGTATCCTCCTGAGACCAGCATAATCTTTGATGACTACAGCCTTGTGAACAGGACTATGGGCATATTTCGAAGCATCAATACTCGCCATGCCTCAGGACAGGATTATCCAAAGACCAACCTAAACTAGTTTATACAATCTATATGCAATTCAGTCATCCAAAACGACCACAAACGGAAGAAAATTAATAAAAAACCCCTTCAGATCAATATTATATGATGGCTGACCACTACCACTGCCACAAATTCAAATACCCACAAGCAGCACAACACCCAGCACCAATTTATTCCCCCAAACCACTGGATTCACAAAATAAATCTGACCCAGTTCAAAACGTAGTCACCAAATTTAGAAATTCGCACAATCTTCCCAAAAAATGAATATTACCGAGTTCAAATTACACACANCAAAATAAATCTGACCCAGTTCAAAACGTAGTCACCAAATTTAGAAATTCGCACAATCTTCCCAAAAAATGAATATTACCGAGTTCAAATTACACACAAAGATGCGAGAAAACACAAACCAGAGAGTTAGAGCCATTACCAAAAAAAAGCAGAAAAGCTAAAAGGGATTAAAAGAAAACACAAAACCATCCAAAAGGGCCAGAATTCTCTCACCTTCTTCAACTCCTGAGACCCCTCAGAGGAGACCCAACATTGATGCCGAAAAGGATTCGGCTACTCGACCCCACCACCTCTCTCTGCCTCTCTCACCTCCTCTGTCAATAGAAAAAGAATAAAGATATATCCTTGTGATCCAATCCAGATCAGTCATACCCAAGAACACGCATGTGGGGTGGCGCAAAAATGGTTAAAAAATATACAATTAGTAAGAAATTTGAGGAGGGTTTAGGGAATCTGATAAGGACATTGGAAAGTATCACAGAATCTTCGCAAATAAAAGTAAACAACAAAACCCCACCATCCAAGCAAAGGGCAAGACTGTTTATTTTAGATTGGAATAAACCCAAAAAAAAGAATCACAACAAAGGGAACATACAACTATTCAATCATACTTTTAGAGAGAAACAAAGAGTAATTTTAGTGGGGAAGGTGAAAGCTAAAGCAATTAATTACCTCTGTCTAGAGTGCAAGAACAGAAGAGAGAATAATAATGTAATGAGATGGGGTAATGTAAAACTGGGGACAGGTTGAACTAGCAATAGTTAGAGCATAGGTTCCCATTTTTACCTTTTGTAACAGACAAAGAACCCATAAAGTTGGAAACATAGAGAGAGACGAGACACTGAGGGGAAAAAAAAATTCTTTAAAGGGTGATACACATCAATATTATCAAGTAATATCAACAATCAAATAGATAAATAAAGAAGTAGTTCCCACAAAAATAATAATTATTCATCCATATAAATAGATAATTACTCATTGTTCTTTCAAAGAAACCAATAATTATTTAAATAAAGTTCATTTTAGTTATTTATAATTTATTAGGAAAATGCTAATTCAAATTAAACTAAAAAATTATAATTTAAACGTATATCATTTCTTAAATGAGTGTTACATGAGTGAGTCNACTTATTTATAATTTATTAGGAAAATGCTAATTCAAATTAAACTAAAAAATTATAATTTAAACGTATATCATTTCTTAAATGAGTGTTACATGAGTGAGTCTTATTAAAAAAAATTGATATGACTCATTCATTTAAAAAATAATATGTATTTAAATTATAATTTTTTAAATTTTATTTAAATTATATGGTATTACTCGTTGATTATTAGTCGATAATATGATTTTGTTAATGCTGACATTGTATTAGACAGACAGAGGGAGAGATTGGTACGACTGCATGCGACAGTGAGCCTGGAAAGAGGGATTTTGCATCCCTGTTCCAATTTTTTATTTATTTAATTATTGTTGCTTTGCTTCGGACAAAATAAAAAAAATTACAAAAAAAACTTATTGTTGGTTTTGTTGGTCAAAGTTTCAAAAAGTATTGTGTCCACCGCATGAGGTCTCAAAGAAGAATGACTTGATTGGGGGACGACTAGTAGGGTAGACTAAGAGGGAAAACTTTTCATTCCAACTGTACTACTAAGTTATCATCGTTATATAATATTATTTTTTAACTAAAAATTTTAAAATAAATAAAATAAATCTTATATATTATTGATTGAACACAGTGATTATTAGTAATTATTAAAATAATAAATTCAGTGATTATTAGTAATTATTAAAATAATAAATTCTCTTTTTTTTTATTTTTCATCTTTTAATTAAATAGTGACACCACGTAATAATAATGATGTGGTATCATTGTTACATTGAATATTTATTCGACTAACAGGCTGTCAGCCTTCTGGTTAAGATCCGACCCAGCCCAGTGACCCTCTAACAATTGATCTTTATCAATCTGGGTTTTGTTTCATATTTGAAAATCCAAATTTCTTTTTTCTTCTCCAGACTCAAATATCAACTGCTGCATTTTACAACATTTTGGAACCTCTGCAATTAGTGGCATTAGCTAAGGCGCTCAATTTTTGACATGACACATTAACACAATACGAACTAAATTTGAAATTATTTGGTCGGATATGAAATTAAAAGAGTCCATGCATAAAAACAAGTGAATACGCTTAAACACGAAAAAAATTATGTCGAGTTTATATCAAAATCAAGTTAACCTAATAAACCCTTATATTTTAAACAGGTTAACATAATTCGGATACAAACCCGACCTAATTAATTGTAGACATGTTTAACCCGTTTATGTAGTATAATTTGTCTATTATATACGATTAATGTAGTATTAACATTATTACTTATTAATTTTTATTTTTGCTATGGTAATTGATAGTATAGTTTTTAACATTATTATGACAATATATTAATATAGTCCTTGCTTTAATTTTTAGATTGAAACTTGAATGCATTTTATTTAATTTCATTGATGAGATGTGATATGTTATTGGTGAAAAACTTATTTGAATTTTTGGATGAATGCTTGAATTATGTAGTTAATGATAATGAACAAGTATGAAAATGGGTTAAACAGGTCATATTATGTGTGTTAATCTGAAAATGACCTATTTGTTCAGTTTGTCAAACAGAGAAAAGGGGAGGGAGACTTGAACATTTAATCTCAATAAGCAAATTATTTACAAGACAATGAGTACCATTAGACCAAAAGTCTATTGGTAAAAAAAATAGTGTGTCGAACAGGTCGGGTTTGGATAACTCGTTTAATAGTTAGGTCAGGTTAGTGTTTGCACATTTTAATACGATTATTAAACAGGTCATGTTCGTATTTTAGGATTTTCAACACAAACTTAAAATTAACGTGACACGAAAATGATCCAATCCGACATGTTTGACACCCTTATCATTAGCATCATTATCAAATCCCAACTTTCGAGGGTGTTACCTATACTTGTCAATCATGTCAAATGAGATGAGTTTATATCAAAAAATATTTCATCTATACCTAATTTATTTATTAATTCTTATTTAACGAATTGTATCAAGATGGGGTCTGTATTGTGTTGACTAATTTCTTTTTTTTTTTTTTTGGACTTCAGTCATACTAAAAACTTATATTAATAGTATTGTGTCAAGTCTATTTTTAATTTACGAAATAAGTTAGTTAAAGAAGACTCAAACTCATAATTAGAGAACACACATAAACCTTACCATCATAATCTCTCTTGCCTAAATTTTTTTGTGCCTTTCTGCCACCAACATATCAACAATTATGGTATGTTTGGTAGGGGTGGATGAAAAAATAGAAGATAAAAAATAGAATTGATATACTTTCTATCTTTTAAGGGAGTAATCGTTCTTTCTCTATTTTGTATTTGATAAACTGGATAAAAAGTAGAAAAAAATAATATTTGTTATATTTGGTAGGATGAAAAAATGGAATAATAAAAAACGTATAATATATATTTTATCATTATATCTATATATAAATTAATATATACTTGATAAATAAGATATATGTATGTATATATCAATGATATATAAATAAATAGCATATATTTTAGCACACATAATTAACTTTTTATTTATTTTTTCTTTTAATTTTAAAAAAATTAATTTTAGTGAGTTGAACGGAAAATTAAATTCATTCACTTTTTTATCATTCTTATTTTTATTTCTTACCAAACATGATATTTTATCTAACTTTCTAACTTTTCATCATTCAAACTTTTTTATCGTACCAAACTAAAGATTAATATTATGATAAGTCAACTGTAGGTACTCTAAAAAATGTTGTCACTTTGTGTTGGTAGAAATTAAAAGGTTTTGAAATCTTCTAAATTATTTTTATTTATTTATTATTCAATTTTGATTTTAGAATTTATTTGGTTTTCAACGGGTCTTTGTCATATTTTTATATTGGGCTGCTACATTGGATTTTAATGGGCCAATTAGAGTCTTTTACTGTAGTGACTGTTAAAGAGATAATGAGATATGAATATTTTTTTTAAAACTTATTTGACTTTAAAGATCATCTTCAAACTTACCCTCCTTTAAGTCCTCTTTTTCATTAAATAGTTGTCAATAAGTACATATTTTTAAATTCTTTTTAACATGTATTCTATAATTGCTCCTACCATAAATAGTGCATACCTACTTGAATGTGAGACTTTCAAAATTAGAATGTAAGACTTTCAAGATTCCTTTTATATTTGTGTATCAATTGAATTTTGAAATTATATATATATATATATATAGACACACACACACACACACACACGTAATACAGTGACATCAAACAGTGACACGCTCAACAAAAATAGTTGTATTACTGTTTTATATTATTATTTTCTTATTGAATGTGTTACTGTTTGATATTACTATTTTTTTGTTGAGCGTGTCACTGTTTGATATTATTATTTTTTTGTTAAGCGTGTCACTGTTTGATATCACTATATTACGCGCGCGCGTGTGTGTATATATATATATATATATATATGAAATTTCAAAATTCAAATGATACACAAATATTAAAATTTTTTTTGAAAGTATCATATTTTAATCTTAAAAGTCTCACATTCAATTAGATATGCACTATTTATAGTAGGGGTAAAAAGACTTTTATGATTTTTTTTAGCACATATATTTCTATCCCAATTATTTTAAAAAGTATATTTATTGTAATAAATTTTTTGGGAGGTACTGACCTCCCAAAGTCGCCCCACGAATCAAGGTCCACACTAGTATAAATATTAGTCTACTAACGTTTAACCCAAAAGGACGTGTTCTCCTAAAGATCCCTATCGTGCAAAGCTAGTCGATGCCAATTATAATGGTTGAAAATAGGGGCCAACCAAAACCCCGTAAGAAAGTTTTTTTTTTTGTTTGGATAAAACAAACAATTCGTTCCGATAACTTCGGACCATATTAAGTCTTTTGAATTAGTCGATCTTAAAGATCGATCAGACGAGCCAGTTGAGAAAAAATAATTAGCAAAGAAATATATCATTGATGGATAGATTTTATTATTTGATTAAGACGAATGAGTGACTGTGAACTATGTTTCAGAAAAGATTGACCTTTTCCCGAGTCAGTCCACGAATCAACACCCACACTAATATAAATATTAGCCTACTAACCTTAAGCCTAAAAGGACGTGTTCTCCCAATGGTCTTTGCAACATTCTAACCTGTTGTCACCTTTCACCACAAACGTTCCAATCTTCCATCTTGCTTCCTTATGTATTATTGTTATACATGTTATATTTGAACAATTTTGATTCGAGTTAAGTTTATCGCTATCTTTTAATGTATGTGAATCGTAAACTATTAGTATTTGTTTTGAATCTTGGAGTCATCGATATTCATTAGTAATTTGACATGGGGAGGTAAAACTGTATTATTAATAATTTTATAAGTGAATTCAAGGTTACTAGTTTTGAAAGAATGCATGCATTGCAAATTTAGATAGCAGCCATATAAGTAAAAATAAATAGCCTAATGTTGTGGGATTGAATTTAAGGTGAATTGTAAATTTGGACGTTTAGAATTTTATATTCGCTAGTGACTTTTAAGTTTAATTGATACTTATTGTTAGTGGATAATTACAAGTATCTAAGATTTATTTTGTAGAATTTGCGTCCAATGTGAGCCTACCGTCAAAAAAGTTATTCGTAATCCGAAAAGAAAGGTAGTAACTAATCCATTATTTTCTACCATTCACACACAATAGGAATTTTAACATGTAATTTCATTATTGTCTAAATACTTGTAGAGGGGTGATTTTGGACATAGAAATAGGAATCTCAATGTCCAATTTCACAATCTAGTTCACTGAAATTGGACTTACATCCTGGTCCAGCGTACAATTTCACTCAATTCTTTTCAATATTAAGTCAATCACTATGAGTTCAAAATCTACCCATTAGACATTAGTGGAACACATCAATTCATAGTGAATGATTTACAATTGAAACTAGTTAAAAAAAACCTACTATTAAGAGAAATTAAAAAAAAATGCATTGGACATAATCTAGATCACTAAAACTAATACAAAAACTTCCATAACATAAAATAATACATTTTTAAATTAGTTAAAATACTCCAAGCATCAATATTTTAGGTTTTATGAAATTCATTCAACATAGTGGAAAAACACAAACCACATTTTTTTTTTTAAACTTTTTTTTTTTGGTCACAGTTTTGAACTTTTAAAAGAAAAGGGACGGTGAGGTTCGAACCCGCGACCTAGTGGTCCAAAAACGGGCTACGATGACCATTAAATCAACCGCTAATCCTCACATAACACATCCACATATGAAAGCTCAGAACTAGTGTAGTTTAAGATGAAAAGCCATGTTGGGTGGACACACTTTGGAGCACCACGGTCTCAACGGTGAACCCTGGTCCGAACCCAAAGAGCACACCCACTGGAGCCCCTCCCCTGTCGTGTTGAGCCCGTCATTGGCTGATGACTTCCTCATTTCATCCATATTAAATAGCACACAAGCACTCGACATGTTTCCATACTCACTCAACACATGCCTTGTGGCCCGTAATTTCTTGGGCTCAAGGCCCAACTTTAATTCTACTTGATCCAGAATTGCCGGCCCACCCGGATGAGCAATCCAGAAAATTGAATTCCAATCTGATATGCCTAAGGGACTGAATGCCTCAGGCTTTTCTCAATGTTCTTGGAGATTAGCACAGGCACATCCTTCATCAGTGTGGAATGTGAGCCCAGCTTCTCGGAGATGTCCCTCAATTGCACCATTGGGAGAATGGTCTGGATGGCCGAGATGAGCTCAAACAATGGCTTCTCGACTCTAATCACTGGGTCTGACCCAATCATGATTGCGGCCGCCCCGTCACCAAAAAGTGCTTGAGTGACAAGGCTATCCAAATTAGTCTCACTAAGCCCGCAAAATGTAATTATAGTGATTTATGTACAAACCACGAGTACTCGAGCATATCGGTTATTCTTAGCCAAGTCTTTGGCGAGGCAGAGAACCGTGCCATTGGCAAAACAGCCTTGTTGGTACATCATGAAGCGCTTGACCGAAGGGCTAAGTCCGAGGAGCTTGGTGAGGTGGTAGTCTGCACCAGGCATGTCTACACCGCTGGAGGTGCAAAAGATCAGGTGGGTTATTTTGGACTTTGGGCTGACCCCATTCCTTGATTGCCTTTTGGGCTGCTTCTTTGCCTAGTTTGGGTACTTCAACCACCAACATGTCTTGCCTAGCACCTAGTGAAGCTGCCATGTGTTCACAAAAAACAGGGTTTTCTTTCAAAATTTCTTCTGTCAAGTGCATGTAGCGCTGTCTCACCATGGACTTTTCACTTGGAAAAGACCGCAAAAAACAAAGTGTTAAGAGATTAATTAGAAATACACTAGGTAACCCGTGCCTATATGAATGATTTTGTGAACGATGTTGGTGGCCGTTAGATCAGTCTATTAAAACAATTAGATGAACTTATTGAAATTTGTCCGATTTTATATTATAGATATAAATTTATCTCATTTGCTCGGCGAGTGTCCTTTTTTGTTAGTTTATTGGAGTGTCGTACAGTCTTTAAAAATTATATCACTAGAACTGTGACAAAAATTTACTTAAATATACGGAAGGAGATTATATCTTAAATATGCACTTGAATTTTTCTTTGAGCACTATCGTGTGCTCACTCTTCGTTATTTGAAAGTAGTAATCTGGGTATGTACTTTGATCGAAACAATTTGGTGGCGCCCACAATGAAATCAATGACAGTGATTAATTAAGCATATATTTTAAGTTTATGCAGAATTGCTCCATTTTTTTTTTGGACTTATAGCAATAAAAGAAACGACTCCGTCTCTGATAATATAGATAGAATAATACAGTTGGAAATTCTTTTAGATTAATTGTACCGGAGGTCCCAAAGTATGAGATTTATCTTGTTTTGCTCTCTAATATTTCAATTGCATCATTTTAATCCCTAAAATATTGAATATATTTATGCGTGGTCTCTCAAGCAGACAACGTCTAAATTACTAATAATTTTTTATTATAAACATGTCACGTAATACTTAAATACGAACAAAAAATAATTTTGGTAACTCATTCTGGGTGGATGTCCACCATTGCCTCATCACACTCTTTTGATTGATATTTTGGAGTTTGAAAGTCAAGTCATGTGTGTTGAGCTCTTTGATGTGTGAACTCTGTTTGGTCCAAAAAGTTACCAAAATTATTTTTTTCTCATATTTAAGTATTACGTGACAAGTTTATGATAAAAAAATTATTAGTAATTAAAATGTTGTCTGCTTGAGATATTACATAAAAACATATTCAATATTTCAGCGATCAAAATAATGTAATTGAAATATTAAAAATTCAATTAGAAAAATTCTATATTTTGGAGACTTTGAGTGTAATTAACCCAAAAATATTTTTTTTTTTTTGCAACGTCTCAAGACATTTTTTGCATGACTTGAATTTCGAACCCCAAAATATCAATCAAAAGAGTGTGATGAGGCAATGGCGGACATCGACCCAGAATGAGGATTGTTGCTGGTAAAAGCCAAAGGATGTTTCCCATAAGGAGGTGTTTTTTTTCTGAGGGTCTCGAAAGATTAGGAATTAATGGTAGAAGATTTTTACTAATCAATTGTTGCATTCTGATATGGACTTTCGATATGTAATTTCTAAAGTTTAAAAGAGTTAATTTTACCAAAAAACCGCTCTAAGGACATGTTTGTTCAGATTTGTGATCTGATCACGACCTATAAGTGTAATAATGTGCACATTGGGCATATCGGATCGATAAAAAACAGTAAGAACTTTTTCTGAAAAAAAAGAAACAAGAACAGAAAGTTGAATCATTTGTAAATTGCATCTTTAGATCAAGCTTTGGCAGCAATCCATGTACAACAAACACAATCAACCAAGAACTGAACTTTTACTAGAAAATATGCTCAGATTGTGGCTTAAAAGTTAGAACAAAAATCATTAAAGAGTAATATTCCTTGAACATAATTTACTGAATTAATTTGTCGATGTAATTATTTATAACTATTGAATTGACAATTAACTCCGGTATCTGTTGGGACTCGACTCGCAACCACTCCAACGGTTGTGATGGATTAAGTCTTTAAACTTGATCCAAATAACATTGTTGATCTTTAAATATTATGAAAGTATAGGGACAAATGGAAAAAAAAAAAGAAAAGAAAAAGGTAGATAGAAATATTGACGCTAAACTTATGTGAATAGGTATAACGTCGAAAGCCGGAGGAAGTAGTCTTCGACAAAGACACTGTTGTTGGGNAGGACCTTTCACCTTCACCCTGAACTACCCTGATAGGAGTATTGGACAAAGATCACAAGCCAAGTACCATATCATTTAGTTCGCATATAGTATTTACAGAACAACCGGACAAAAAATGCAAATTCACGACAATAACAGGGAGATATGGTCAAATAGTCTGATATAAGTTCAATTTTTTCTGAAAAAAAAGAAACAAGAACAGAAAGTTGAATCATTTGTAAATTGCATCTTATAGATCAAGCTTTGGCAGCAATCCATGTACAACAAACACAATCAACCAAGAACTGAACTNTAGATCAAGCTTTGGCAGCAATCCATGTACAACAAACACAATCAACCAAGAACTGAACTTTTACTAGAAAATATGCTCAGATTGTGGCTTAAAAGTTAGAACAAAAATCATTAAAGAGTAATATTCCTTGAACATAATTTACTGAATTAATTTGTCGATGTAATTATTTATAACTATTGAATTGACAATTAACTCCGGTATCTGTTGGGACTCGACTCGCAACCACTCCAACGGTTGTGATGGATTAAGTCTTTAAACTTGATCCAAATAACATTGTTGATCTTTAAATATTATGAAAGTATAGGGACAAATGGAAAAAAAAAAAGAAAAGAAAAAGGTAGATAGAAATATTGACGCTAAACTTATGTGAATAGGTATAACGTCGAAAGCCGGAGGAAGTAGTCTTCGACAAAGACACTGTTGTTGGGTACTTTCCCAACAACCTCTCTCTCTCTCTCTCTCTCTCTCTCTCTCTCTCACACACACACACACACACACAAGGAGATTTACCTGTGTGTGTGTGTGGCAAGTTCCTCTTCAAATTAATTAAAATTTTGAAGCTTGTTTTGAATTTTGACGAAATAAAAAGTTCATCAAATTTCAAATTCAGCTACTTATTGCTCATGAAAATATCTTATGTATACCATAATAAAGTCATCCATGTATCTTTTTGATCTCTTTTCTTTTCCTTCTATTCATCAGATGAAGATGCTTTAGGTTTTGTTTTTGGACCCTTCTTTGAGTGGGATGGGAGATTGTGATGTAATTGTCCTTGAAAGTCTCGTTGCTCTTTTTGTTGAAAACATGAGGTGGGATGCGAAGTTTGATGGGAGAGTAGAACAAAGTCGACGTCACGAAATTTGGGGTAGATTGCTTAAGGGGGTAGCTTGAGATAGGTGCTAGATACCCTTCATTTAGAAATAAAAGAGTGACGGTGATGACGACGATCATGACCATACAGGATAACTTAAGGCTCANTTGATGGGAGAGTAGAACAAAGTCGACGTCACGAAATTTGGGGTAGATTGCTTAAGGGGGTAGCTTGAGATAGGTGCTAGATACCCTTCATTTAGAAATAAAAGAGTGACGGTGATGACGACGACCGTGACCATACAGGAAAACTTAAGGCTTATGCACTCTTGTTCTAAGTTGTTTAATGTCCTTTTCCTCTTCTGAACTGAAAGAGATGATAACGAATAATTACAATAGTTTTCTTGTCCTTTCTTTTATGGAACGCGTATAAAATACTCGAGTTACGAGAATTGTTCACTATCTCTGATTTACCTCTAAGAGAAAATATTCAATGTAAAGATGGATACTATGTCATTATTATTACATGGTATTATCATTCAATAAGAAACTAACAAGTANGAAAGAGATGATAACGAATAATTACAATAGTTTTCTTGTCCTTTCTTTTATGGAACATGTATAAAATACTCGAGTTACGAGAATTGTCCACTATCTCTGATTTACCTCTAAAAGAAAATATTCAATGTAAAGATGGATACTATGTCATTATTATTACATGGTATTATCATTCAATAAGAAACTAACAAGTAAGTCAAGTAACAAACACGATTTAATAACTATCTCATTCATGTTAGATAATAATCACCTCATATAAAGAAATAAAATTCACTTATCTATTTATTTGACTTTTAATTAGATGATTATACCATATAACAATAATAATGTACTATCGACGTTACGTTTAAGAATCTTTCCACCTTCAATGTCTTTAGGAAAAACAACAGAGGCTCCTACGACCGATGGAAAATGGATTTAGGATCGTATGTATCCATTGTACATGACAATGNAACACGATTTAATAACTATCTCATTCATGTTAGATAATAATCACCTCATATAAAGAAATAAAATTCACTTATCTATTTATTTGACTTTTAATTAGATGATTATACCATATAACAATAATAATGTACTATCGACGTTACGTTTAAGAATCTTTCCACCTTCAATGTCTTTAGGAAAAACAACAGAGGCTCCTACGACCAATGGAAAATGGATTTAGGATCGTATGTATCCATTGTACATGGAAATGATTAATCCAAAGAACACGAACGCTTTTGAGATAATCTATCGTCCAAAAAAAAAAGGAAAAAAATGAGATTTTATATACTGTTATAGAAAAACGATCATTAGATGACATAATAAATATGAATATTTTGTAACTTAGACCAAACAATAATTAGCACATTATAAATTATAGAATAAACTTCTCAAACAGAAATAATTTCTTTATTTTAATTACAATCATCCCAAAAGTTATTCTTTTCATTGCAACATCACTATTGTAGGTCCTGTGAAAATTCATTCAACACCAAGGAAACACACACAAAGTAAATACACAACCAAGCCACAAATGGAAAGTTGAGAAACGTTGGCCCGGTCAAATGAACACACTGTGAAGCACCACCGTCTCAACGGTGAGCCCTGGTCCAAACCCAAAGAGCACGCCCCACTCGAGCCCCTCCCCGGTGGTGTCGAGCCCTTCCTTGACCGACGACTTCCTCATTTCATCTAGTATAAACAGCACACATGCACTTGACATGTTCCCATACTCACCTAGCACATGCCTTGTGGTTCGTAGTTTATCGGGCTCGAGGCCCAACTTCAATTCCACTTGGTCTAGAATTGCAGGCCCACCAGGGTGAGCGATCCAAAAAATTGAGTTCCAATCAGATATGCCCAAGGGCCTAAATGCCTCCA